CAGAATGCGCAACGTTGGTGCAAGACCCGGGTTCGAGTATAGCCGTGCAACCGTAATTGTATACTCAAAAGAGCAACCATATAAAACAACAAAACGAAAAGTAATTATTATCATATGTATTACTTTTGCATTTTGTCTTGTTATCTAAGAGACATTGCGAGATTATTTAAATTACAATGAGAAAGTGAGCTGCTTGCAATATGTAATTAATTCATGTAAGTCAATTAAAATGTCCATTTTACAGTAATAAAAATGTCATGAAACGTTTCAATAAAGTTTTAAATCTGTTTTAAATTATAGGGGTAATCATTTATCCGAATCATTTATCGCATTACGGTAATAAATTTAAACTATTGATGAAAATAAATAAGTATGCATTAGGGTGGCCCAAAAAAAAGTAAAGTCAATATTTTAATGCTCTCACCCGCTAGGATTGTTCTACATCGCAAAAAAAGGAAAGTATTTTTTATTTGAAAATCAAAAAAATATTTAGAGGTCGCCAAAGGTGCTCAAAGTTTTCCATATATTTTATATGAAACAAAATTTCATTGCCCCCCTCCCCCTACTTACATATTTCGGAGTTTAGGAGGACGTGAAAAATGGTTCCAATCGAAAAATATTGAGTTTTAAGAATTCTATACAATTTCTACGAAAATTTGTTTTTTTTTTCATATAAAATACATGGAAAACTTTGAGCGCTTTGAGCGACCTCTAAATATGTTTGGATTTCAAAGTAAAAAATAGGGGTATATTTTTATTCGGTATAGAACAATCCCAGGGGGTGAGAGCATAAAAAATTCGGCTTTACTTTTTACATAAATTTTTGGACCACCCTAGTGTTCATACATACATAGATTTATATATAAATGTATAAATTACGAACGGCTAAGAACTGGAGTTTTATAACGGATAAAAGTCAGCTGGTTTTGAGTTAAAGTCCAAATTTTCCTCACGGGAAAAGGAGGAAAAAACACCGTTTTCAAATTAGAATGGACATTTTTAAAACTCGGTATCCACTACCAGGTTCACGTACACATTTATAATAATTATTTAGCTGTTTTAGATTAGTTATGTTTTCTTCTCGTAACTAATGCCGAATTTCCACTAGCCATTGAAATGACAAAAAATGTATGCCATTTAAAAAAAATGCCATGTGGAATTGAACTTACTGACTATTTTTTTAATGTAATGACGACTTTGTCATTTGTCATTTTCGCCATGTAATGCCTAGTGGATATCCGGCATAAAGGAGTTACGGTTTAAATTTTTCCGAAGAAGATAATTATAGTTTTGGCCTAATAAATTTTATTAAACCAGTGTAAGAAGCAACAAGAGTTTATAAGGCGAACTTAGCGTAGTGGGTAGACCACTGGTTTTGTAAGCTGTGGTCGATGTGTCGAATTCCAGTGACCGCGAAGAAGTCTGATGAGGAGATGCAATTGCAGCTATAACTTCTACCATTTATGAACTATTGTTGTTTTTTCCACAATAATTTTTCATATCAAACGGCCTCAAGCTCAACAAAAATTTTTTAATGTAAAGAATTAGGGATAGTTTTGAGCGATAGAGGGATATTCAACGTGACTGTTTCTCTACACTCCCTGCAGTGCAAAAATATCAATTGTTTAAAATAACCAACTTGTAAATAACTTTTTTGCAGAATTTCTATAAATACCTTACTTTTCATGACCTATGACAAAACCAACTTAAAGTGAGTTGTAAAGTCATGCAGACATAATCGCGACTCTTTAAAATATCCTCATACAAAATTTACTTTCAATACACTTTTTTGTACATTTCACAAATACTCTTTCGATTTCTGGACAAATATAATGAAGATCGAAATTACGGCATTCAAATATGGGGCCACCTACAGAATAAAATGTAAACAAATATGCAATGTTAAATATAAGCTACATAAATAAAAATTTAAAAAAGAAAGAATTAAAAGTTTTGTTGAATTGTTTTCGGCATTTTATGTCCAAAAATAGTAAGTTTCAAGTTAGTTGACGTGTAATGCAGAGGTATCCAGGACTGACTTTTTTGCGGCCAGCGCCCCACAAAAGTATATAGCGCTCGCGTAAACAACCATAAATTTGGTATAAGCTAACGTCACTCCCTGCAGGGTCCATTCACAAAAGTCGAAAAAAAGATAGTTTTTATGTGCATACACGTAATAAATGCAGGTTTTAAAACTTTTTTTGTGGGGATTTTTTTACATTACAATATGTTGGGCTTACGAAGTGGGTATAAATAAGTTTTCCGAAAGTCGTTTTTTTATACCTATATGTTTAACTACATAAATCGAACATTGTTCTATGTTTACAAAAAAACCTTTTTGCAAATCTTTGAAAAACGTTATTTTCATGACAGAGGAAGAGTGAAAGATAGCAAATTTAATTACCTTTTTTTGGATATACCATATGTTTTGATGAATATACGGGTTCCATAGATATTAGATATTTTTATGATCGACCTTTTTTCTTTTCTTAAAAGCCGTTATGCTGCGATATCTCAAAAACTACACTAAAAAAAAATAGTATTATTATAGTCAATGCTCACATTATAATAAACCACCGACGATATCTCGGCACCAAAAACGTTTTCTACAATTGCTGACGTGTGTTACGTTTAATGTGATTACACAACTCTGTACATAAGCAGGATTTCCTTATCAAAACAAGAAAACTTGTTTTTAATCTCAGAGTACATCGTTATATTTTCCAAAACAACTCATTCAAAATGCTTTGCAAAAACAAACATATTTTGATATGTTTTCCCTACAATGGTTTCGCGCTTGCATATGTACATACATATGTATGCACATGCATACATATCCTACATATAAGTATATACATACATACATATATTTATACATATTTATGTTACAGTAGGGGTATTCACGATCCGGTGCATACTGTCTAGCATGGTGCATAGATAGTATAAATAGCATGATTGGCTAATTTTGTTGTTGTTTGAACACATGAAACAACAACAATCATGCTATTCATCCTATCTATGCACCATGCTAGACAGTATGCACCGGATCGTGAATACCCCTAGTGTTCTGTTTTTAATCTTAGCATTGAGGGTCATATCGTCACAACACGCTGCAATGAGCAACTGCAGCCAAACAAACGGAGCCTACCTGCTATTGTTTTAGCAATTTATTACTGCACTTGCCAATGTTAAGTGATAAACAATGTAAACAAAACTTCGATACCTTACGGTTACTTACAGACATACATACATACATATGAAAGTAGATACGTATGCACATACATCCTTCTTTGCATAGCATAGTTGGCAATAAAAGGATGCGTCTCGTCCAAAAAATGTCAGTTCGCTTTTAGAGACGCTTTGATGCTTAGAAATATAAAAAAAAAATTGGAAAATGTCGGTTGTAAATGTTTCGCTTGCTAAGCATTTGGACTTGCTCGCCCTTTTATTAACCTCAATGCTGTTAAAATTTTACATACAGATGTCTATAGCCATAAATCGGTTAAGATTTATTAGAGCAATCACTTTCATAGCTGGAGCGTTGGCAGTTGACAATGAAATTAAACTCATTAAGCGTGAATTCAGTGAGTTAAAATATTCACCAATACAAGTGGTGCTACCACCTCCTCTTGCTGACGTTGCTGAAACGCCTAAAAGCAGAAATTCTTTGGCTAGACGTCGATTGAATTTACGTAAATTAAATCGGTTTCAATATTGTCGACACTTAAGGGAAGTGCGAAGGACGCTTGAATTGTAAATACATAGAATAGAACTTGTTAAATAAGAAAAATGTCAATATTACTATATAAGTAAGTAGTCATGTACCGTTAAAATAGAGAAAATATATTATGTATGTATGTATATGTATATGTACATAAGTATGTGTAAATAAAAAAATTGGAAAATTAAAATTTTCTTTCTAAATTTTGAGAGATAAGAAATGTATTTGATTTGCAGCACACTTTTGCCACTCGCAAGCGCAAAATTTTTTAATGGCTTAAGTCGAGAATTTCCTCTGCTATTTTTTATTTTACTTAAATATCCCTTGACGCGCATACAAATTCGCTGTTCATTTCTTTAGAAATTGGGCCTTAATGCCAAATGTGCGCAACCACGGAAAGATGCTAGTTTTAGAAATAAAAGAAATAAACGATTCTGATTCTTTCCCCAAATATGAAGATTGAATAGCTCAATATACATATGTATAACATCAATAGAAAAGGAAATGGTTCAGACACCAAGTATGTATAGATGATTTTAAGGAAATTGTGGATATTCATATGTATGCAGCGATTTCTTTTAAATTGCGCTTTTTTATTTAAACAATCTGGACACCCTGATTATAAGTGTATTCGTAATCGGAATGCAGTCGTCAAAGTTGATTTAGGAAAACCGACAGAAATTTGCAATTTTCTCTGCCTAAGAGTGAGTTTGAGGGAATTTTTTCTTACTCTCTGATATTTTAAGTGATGGATAAAGCTTGTTAGATTTTCGACGAACAAACCTATTTTTGGTAATCCGAAAACAGCGAATTTTCGAATGTCAATAAAATTAATGGCATTGTTATAAAATGGAAACTGTTTATGATATGATGAATAATGAAAAGTGGAAAAGTATATAAAATTCCAAAATTCAAATACTGCTTATAAAAGTATTTAAAATACTAACACAAAATACCCTGGGAAAAAAAAGAGTTTAAATATAAAATACAAACATGTATTTTGTATTTTTTATTTGTATTTTAAATATTTGTATTCTATTCTATTTATACTCTACCCATTTGAGAATCGTTTTCTTCTTCAATGCTATTCACTAATGCACCTAATATTGGCCTAACCCCACGTCTCCATTTTCTACCAAATATATCTTACCATAAAATTTATGTTTTGACTTTCTCCCGTTCTCTCATGTGGGCGACTTTGTGTCTTAACATATCACTTCAAACTGTCATCAAGCCAATCAGATCGGTCTGTACCCAAACTGAGTTGTCAAACTACGAAATGACAGCTGATGTTAAGACAGCGATGATAAGCAATTCGGCAAAACAGATATGGGTAACAGTGGAAATTTGCGGTCTCCACCTGACATTTCTGTCTTACCACAGCTTTTTTAACAGCATCTATAGAAGGTGGAGACGTGGGGTAACGATTGTCGCGAAGATACATACATAAAATAGTAGCGGTTAGGTTATGTTGAACCATAAATGGTCTAACATAGACAAAGACCACGTCTATAGTGTTGCCAGATCCGAAGGACCTTTGAATCCGTGCATTCACGCAATGTTGAAGAACACTGCCGTTACTTTAAAATACGTATGTGGCAGGGAATCCAACTCGTGGCGAGTTCCCCGATTTGCGGGGAATTTCAGTTTGTCGTGGGGAATCGGAGCATTGACCTTTTTTGTCGGGAATTTAAAACGTTGAGCCATAAACATTTATGTACCTATTCTTTTAGTTTTTTATTACTTTTGGACTGAATTTTATATATTATATATGAATATTTAGGAAACAAATTGAAAAAACTTTCGTAAAAATTTCGAGCTTTTTAATTGGATTTTTTAGAAAGATTTTGAGTATGCAGTTTTGTAGCTCATTTAATTCTAATATAATAAAGTTTCAAATGGCTAAAAACTACCGTTGATTTTTTAGAATTTTCTTTGTCGCAATTGGTTTCATATAAACACAATTTATTTTTATATGAAAGAAAATCGCAACACCTTCGGCAAACAAATCTAAAACAAAAATTTTTAGCCACTCAAAATTTGCACTTTATTATACTAGAATTGAGTGGGCTACAAAACTGCATACTCAACATTTTTCTAGAAAATCGAATTAAAAAGTTTGAAGCTCGGATTTATCGGGTTTTGTTAAAAAATGAACTATATTTTTATAAAAAAATAGCTCAAATTAAATACCCCGAAAAAATATAAATAATAATAATTTTAAATAAAACCTTGTCAAAATTTGGTGCGACTAAAATTTTTTCGACCGCTGTATGTACATATGTTAATATTATATATACATTTTTTATTCTTTATTTGTTAACTAATTTTATAAAAGTTTGGTTTGGTTTATGAATATATAGATGAATTTCGTTTAAAAATAAAATAAACAGAGAATACCCTGCAAACCAAAGTTCCCGAAACCTTAACGAAATCTTTAGGAGTATTTGATTTCTGTAACGATTTTTTTCCGAATCTTCAAAGAAAATTATATGAAGTGGTTGACACGAACTCGTAAAGAAATTTCTGTACGAAAAATAAAGAAAATTCTGAAAAAAGTCTGCAAGAAATTCTTCACATAGCAGCATTATTTTCATTTCTTCACCGATTTTCTTCCGAAATTCCGTAAACGAATGGAAGTGTGCGTAATTTATTTCATTTTAGAAAATTCGGAAAAAAATCGGATGGGATCTTTCCGAATTCGTTAAAATTCCTTTACGATTCAGAATACTCTGAAAAAATGGTTTGCAGGGTACATACAATTTTTCTTTTTTTGTAAATAAGGTCATAAATATGAGTGGGGAATTTAACGAAATTTCGGACAAACTCTGGGAATTTCATTATTGAAATCGGGGAATTCTCAAATATGAGTTGGCTACCCTAGTATGTGGGTATGTATGAAAGGGAAGGCTGTAGGCAGCCCAGGTATCCTTTTACATGCATTGAATTCAACCGAGGCTCTCTCCGCCCTCTCCCCTATGTTCAGACGCCACGAAAATTTGTTATCGAGTATTTTTGGAGGTACTCAGTGCTTTGTTTCAGTTGCAGACTCGTTCCTCGCAGCTAAGGCCAAGACTACCCCCAAATCCTATATTTCCTCGTTTCATTGTATTAATCATAGTGCTTTTTAAAACAAAACATTTCATTGTATACCTTTGTTCTTACCCTATTATAGGCCGTCTACATGTCCACGACAGTACCGCAGAATATAAAAGGTAGTAAAATCGCCGGACGCCACACTCCAACAAGAAATAGTTTAAGGCACAGTCGCATGCTAGTTGTAAATAACAAATCATATCCAGGTAAGTGGCAAGGTGTTTGATCGTTTGCATACTATAAATGTAGTGCAATAACCAACTTAAAAAAAAGGAAACTGGATTCGACACTGACTTTTTATCAAAAAAAAAAAAAAATTAATATTGTTACTGTTAAACGTTTACACTTGTATTAGTAGATTTGCATGTGTTTCCAATGGTGATTAAACTTGCGTGATCTTAATACACTTACTGCCATAATTGCTTATCAAATATGTATATTCTTAATAACCTATTGCTTGATCTCATTAATCCTTTTATTACTACTCAGATGACTCTGTACTTTTTCATACTAACTCAAAGTTAATTGGCTTTATTCATACCGAATGAGCTACACGAGGGTGGGTCGCCTTTATATGACTTCGCTAGAAGAAAGCTCTACGGTAAAATAACGCAATAAAAAAATTGAAAAAATAAGAGTGAACCTTCTTAATTCATATAAAACAAAATTAATTACTAATCACATACACATTAGTTATAATTAAGTTCATGCTACAACAATTTATACGTACAAAACTACATAAGCTCATTGACTTTTTACTTGTAATTGCACCGCTGCATTGTAGCCAATTTATTTCCGTAGTACTATGTTAATAACTGGCAAAGGCAATCATCATCAATAAACAACAACAAACGCAATCTTGTTTTTGTAATCTAATGTTATATATGTAAGTATGTATATACTAATGTAAGTAATAAACTAGTAGTGTAACTAAAACGATTTGATCATAGTCGGTCTGTTAGGCCTCCACTCAAGTGAGCGCGGTTAGTAGACAATAAACTTTTAGCGAACAAACAACACTTCCATCAAATAAAATTAAAACAAGTTCATACATACATATTTCTAAAATGGTTCGTTCTTTGTACACAACAGCTTCTCAGCATCCAAATCCATTGAATTTTAAATATCCGAATCTTGCCCGCTGGTTGCTCATACTGGAAATATTAGTTGGTCTACTAATATCATTCTTAGCAATATGGATATTCTGCTTGGCACCCAATACGGCCATACAATATAATCCCTACTGGAGCGGCTTGGTGGTAAGTGAATAATTTTAATATTTGTACGGTTATTTCGAAGGCTTCCGAACAGAGCACTGTTCAACATACTAGATAACTAGACAGAACTTTTTTCTTTTAAATGCAGTACGCTATAGATCGATTAGATATTTATTTATTTATTTACTTTCCCTGTTGGCGGCGGTTTGGGTAAGTTTTCATAAAGTTTGGACTTTGCATTTCTAATGGGTGTGGTTTTAGGTGGCCGCGCGATCTAATTTCAGTTTTTGATCGTGGCCTAATTTCACTTTTCAAAATGAATTATGAAGTCTAACTAGAACCTTTAACTTAGGTTAGTTTAATGAGGATCTTTCGCGATCACGCAAAAAAGCGTATCACTAGCTAAAAGTATTATTATTTTTTTACTAGTTACAATTAATACTTAGCACTAGCTACAAGGTTATCGGCACATCTAAAAGTAAAATTAATAACAAGCATTAAAAAGTGATCGAAATCGGTTACGATTTAAATAAATAGTGCGCAGATTTTTTTTTTACACTTTTACCCTTTTTTCTCAGTGTGCGCCGTTGCAAGAAACCTACAACATTCACTTGGTGGGAGGTAAACCAGGTAGAGAAAAGGGGGTGTCTTATAAGGCAGACAAAGAAATCAGTAAGACTTTCGCTTAGCACTTTGGCCCCCAAAATCGGATGCTATGTATGCAAGAACTTAAATTTAGATTAGCAAGACTGTTCTGACCTTTTCCCCGCACAATTGTTAAGCAAAAATGTTTTAATTTTTTTCTCGTTTTTCTCCACAGCTCCTGCTTGCTGGCATTCTTGGACTTGTGCTTGTACGCTATCAGCGTATAAAACGCCACAAAGTGCGCGAGAATTGTTTTAAATTTTTACGCACCGATTCATATTTGCTAGCGCTCTTGGCCGTCTTGCTTTGCTGTGTGGCATTCTTTTGTGCTGCCCTACATTACGCGCGCCTTTGCGCCAGCGATACACACTGCGCGCCCACAAACATTCTGTTGGAGCAAGGATCCTGCACGTGCACCTTTAACGTGAATGAGGAAGTAACGCTGCCACCGCCAGCGAATGACAGTGCGTCACAGGTGGCGAATGGCTTGCTGGACGAAGAAGTGATGCCGGAAAATTTCAGTGACCAAAGCTATAAAGTGGAATATCGGTAAGTGATTTGAAATAATTCAATATCGGGTAAATACATTTTATTAAAATATGTGACCGTTCTATAGGGACCTAAGCTGCAAGGAAGTGAGCGGCGAATGGATAACAATTCTCATTATGTCTACTGCGCTCAATGCAATCGGTTTTTTGCTTGCGCTCGCCTATGCTGTGCTGCTCGTTTGCTGGCGACACACCGCCAAACGTCCATTCTATACATCCGTCCAGACCACCAGTACCTTTTAGCTCAAGAAATGCCGCGTTCAAATACAAGTATACAAAAATATATATACACACACACACGCACATACATACCTGTAGTATTTTTAATCATAGACATTTATCAAACATGCTTGCAATGCATACATATTTATATGTACATAAATATGCAACTTTTAGTTATCTGATTTCTTTGTTTATAGAAGCGAAATAATTATGTATAAATACATACATACATATGCATGTATGTATGTACATAGGACGGTGGCGATTTGTACTTAAATCACTTTTGATCAAAAAGTTTTTAACATTTTAACTTTCACTTTGTAAGAGTAACACAATTGTTTATATTATTTTAAAAAATCACTTATTTATTAAAAATACGATGTATTAATTAAAAATTTGTAATAATACACTTATGTATGTATGTTCATGAAAAATAATAACTTTGACATACAACATTTTATGTAGTACATATTTTCAAAATTGATTACCCACTAAACCTACAATGACTTTAATATAAAATATCTGCAATTTTTGCTTACCTAACATACAACCCCTACATACGAGTCTAATGAAAATGTATTAAAACAATTGTAAAATCTTCAAAAAATGTTTACATATGTATGCATAATATTCATGTACTACTATTTAACAATGCAGTATATGGCAAGTACAATATGATACCAACCATTTTGATATTAAAAACTAAAATTAATAGAATGAAATGCAAATTGAAATGCTCAATAAATTGATCATGATGCCCAGATACTAAATGATGGTGTTAATATTTCGCTTGTGAATATTTCTCTAACGAAATGTATGCATGTATGTATATGTTAATCTATACTTATGCAAAAAAAAAAACAGATCCTTCACTTCATTATGATTTCTGCCGGTGGCAATATGTTATCGCCATATAAACTATACCAAATGCTAGAGAACCATATTGTACGATCGACCCACTCACTGCCAGCCAGCACATGTCCTATGAAGGGTGAATCGCGTGATCTGAAAGCAAAAAACAAATATTATTAGTTATGATTTTTATCTGATTAGCAAGGAATAGTTTTTGTTATCAAAATTGCATGGATATAACATAAACATGTGGATGTCCAAAAATTTTGGTTATTTACAGTGGGGGAAGAAATAAAAGAAAGTTTTTATTTTGACAAGTTTAGGCTACATGTCTATTGGTTATTCGATGTTTAATATTTTTTTATAAAAGTCTAGCGCATTTCATGTCAAGTACCATATAAATCCACATTTCAAACTTTTTACAAAAGTTATAAAAATTCAACAAATTTTACCAAAATCCCCCAAGAATTGGAAGCTTTTTATTCAGAATTTAAACAAAAATTAGGTATACAGTTTTATAGGCCGTTTAATTTTAGTAGGTCAAAGTGCAAATTTCAAGACGCTAGAAAATCGCGTTGATTTTTAATATTTTTTTTAGCTGACGGTGTTGTGCATTTTCTTCCATGTAAAGCAGTGATTCCCAAAGTAGTCCATGTGGACCCCCAGGGGAGACTCGATGGGGGTCCACGTTGGCGTGAAAAAAATATGGGGTTTCACGAGTTGTAAATGGGGGTCCACGAAAATGTACCTGGTTTCTATAGTAAATAACAAAACTGGTTGCTTGGCTTTATCTATAAATGTAGGCAGATATTACATTACTACAAAAAATTAAGGGAGCAAAAAAATTCCAAATTTTTCGGTGATTTTTGACAGGCCGCATTTCGGTAAAAAAATGGTCGTACTAAGACTTTAAAAAAGGCTTCGAGTCCCTAAGATTCTAATTTTTCTTGGCTAAAATTTTTTAGGAGCTACGGTACTCATGTAATCTTGACAGATAGCGTAAAAAAATAATGGAACTCAGCCGCGACCCAAATTTCTATAGTTAGATCTTACCTTCACATTTTTTTACGAGAATTGGGTGTATGTTAGAAATGTACCAGTAAAATTTTTAAAGGGGTCTACGAGAAAAATGTTTGGGAACCTCTGGTGTAAAGTATGCCCAACACTTCTTTTTATATTTTTATTTTTACCACTCCGAATTTAGGTTATATAAAAAGAAGTTTTGAGCATACTTTACACCAGAGGTCCCCAAACTTTTTTTCTCGTAGACCCCTTTAAAAATGATACTGGCACATTTCTAACATATACCAAAAGCTCGTCAAAAAATGTGAAGGTAAGATCTAACGATAGAAATTTGGGTCGCAGCTGAGTTCCAAACCTAAATTCGGAGTGGTAAAAATAAAAACAGTAAGGCTGTTCAGGATTTTATGCATGTGATCTTGCATTTGCATGTATCCCCTGTCATCAAACAAACAGTCAGCGTATTCGCGCCTTGGCAGCACGGTTCCCAAAGAGCTATCTCCAAGTCCCGGTACAACACATGCCGGGAGGCGAAATCTCGTGGTTTTTGGCAAGAAAAAAAATTTAGATATCTCGTTGTAATAAACTCTTAATATATATATGTATGGTTTAAAAATTCGATTAACTAATCGACAGTATACGCCGTATTTTGTTTACAGACCGTTTGCTAACAATTTGTGGCAACGCCGTTCAATTAGCTGATAATTGATTAAAGGGCTATAAAATTGCAGACCTAAAATTTTTCTAAATTATCTGAATAAACAGTTTGAAATTCTTTGGGGATTTAGATAAAAGTTGTTGAATTTTTATAACATTTGTAAAAAATTTGAAATATGGTACTTATTATATAATGCGCTAGACTTAAAAAAAAACATATTAAATACCGAATAACCAAAACACATATAGCCAAAACTGGTCAAAATAAAAATTTCGCTTATTCCTTTTACCACTATATGTAGTATTTATGTACTAGCAAATGTTATGGTACTCCACTTGAAGGCACCCATTCTCAGTAATCAATGAACATATCGCACACCGTCTTCAAAAGAGGCACAACTCAAAATTTGACATTTTTGAAATTATGCGTTAAATATGTTTTACAGAGCTTTTATTTACCTTTGAGCAAAAGCTGGAGCAAATTTGTTAACACAATAATTTACTAAAAAAAAAACGAAGGTAAATTCCCCCTTGCCCATATAATTAGCATGTGCTAAGAAATAGTTCTTCACATTTTCTGACATACCTGTAATTTTTAGTACCTATTTTAAGGTAACGGCTATTTGAAAAGTTACATTTACGCAAAGTTCCCATGAGTTGTTTGCAATCATGGAATGGGAATCAGTCAAAAATCGTCCTGCCGTAATAAATAGGCCTGCCAAAATGCAGTTTCGAAAAAGGCGAGATGTTGCAGCCACTGATCAATCGAAGTATTGTTTATCGTACCGTACAGTCACGGATACTGGTGGAGTAGTTGCCTTAAGCCATATGCAGTGACGGATTTAAGGGGGCTTTTGGGGGTAGAACCCCCCTCTTTACCCGATGATTAAATGATTAATTATTTAATGTTAAAATATATACATAATTTAATTAATGTTAATGTTATGATGTTCTTTCAATTATGTGGATAACGGACGAACATTTTAAGTTTACACCATCTGGAATCCCAATTTGAAATTTCAATTATCGTGGCTACGTGCTTATGCGTGGTTGGTGTACTCGCCTAAAGAAGATGGGTGTTACTGCAATTATTGAATTTTATTTGCGTCCAATACTGTCGGTAAAGGACGCCATGAAAAAGCAAACTTTTTTGTGCAAAATCCATTTAAAAATTGGAAAAAGGGCTAGAAGGGTTTAAAGTACATCAGGGCGAAACATAAAATCTGAACGATATGCAGGATGGACACAATTTTTCAGTTTTACATTTGTTTTAGATATGTACACAACGCTTCCAATGGTTATGAAATTCGTGAAGACTTTCTTCCCTAGTGGACTGTTACTATTCAAAATATAAAGTGCTCCTTCCATAATTTAGATATGATCTGAATATCGGTCACTACATATGTAGCTGTGGTTGTTCCTGCCGGAATTCGTACAGGTCTAGAATTTTTCCGCAAATCGCCTACCTTTAGGACAGCATTGATAATGGGCTAGACTTTAAACCGATTTTTTTTTAAATACCTAGACCATTTCAAAAACGTTAATAACCAGTCATATGTAGCCTAAGTTTCTCAATTAAGGTCCGAATTATTTTGCTTCTAACCTTCTAACAAAGTAGTTATATATTACAACAGTATCCACAACTTACCTCAGTATCTGCGTTTGTGTACGCTCCACGAACGTAATTGCCCAACTCCATGGAAAGTCGCGCTTCTTCTCACAACCCAAGTACGCCGTAGTGCTATGCAGGAAGATCTCCCGTACGATGGTGGTTTTTTCGTTTTTGTCTTTCTTCGATATCACAATTTTACCGTCACGCAACTCGCAGAGAAATGATTTGAAGGATTTTGTGCGATAATCAGCAAATTTCAACTCCTTTCCCGGGGTCACCGTTGCCAGATTCTTAACGGCACGTTGAACTTCACGCAAAGTATCAATAGGTTTCACAACTAGGTAATTATTTTTACGATCATCTTCGGGCCAATACGACCAGTTGAGGACAACATCGAATACTTTTGTGTCATGGTGTAGTGGACGCTCCAGGCTGTCGTTCAGTATGACTTCGTGCAGGGATACTTGATGGGTTGAAAATTGCATTTTAGACGCCAGCTCGCGACAGATATCGTAGGCCGTGCGGGTGGGTGTGATTGTAACGTTCACCTGAACTTTTTCCTTTTGGGAGAAAATAAAAGAGTTTTTTAATTTTATTCGCTTTCAAATTTTTAAATACTTACTTCCTTGGTGTTCTCTGGTCTGGGGTTAAGTACTACCCACATCTTTAGGTCCCCAGACTTTTTCACTGAATCTGTCAGCGTTTCAGCCGCCGCGTAATACTTTTGTAAGCACATCAACATCTCTTGTTCTTTTGTCTAAAATTTTATGTTTTTAAATCGGTTTTTCTTGTAGAGATAAAAAAAAGAGTGCTTACTACTTCCTCTGGCGATAGTGGGAATAAATGTTTGTAAAGCGTTATCAAATCGGCTAGAACATCAGCTTCCTTCTGCGAGTAAACCATTTCTTCCTGCTGCTGTTAAAGGTTGGCAGCGAAAAAGTAAAATTTATTAGATACATATGTATGTATGTATTGTAAGTATGGGTGCTAGATTAACAGATCCCTTCAAGTACTCACATGATTCTGCAGTAGCGTTGGACCCCAGATCATTGTCAAATTTTTCGTACTCATCTTATTCTTCGCCTTCTGCGAGCTAATAAATGCCAAATGTCCTACAATTTTCTTGAGAGTCTCCCGTTCTATCACGCTCAAACGTGCAAGTAATTCCTTATATACTTCTATCTTCTCCGCAGGTTTAGTAAGCTCAGTCACACACATGAAACTCTCGGAAAGTTTGCCCATTAGGCGCTCGGGAAGATCGCGCATGAAACGCTTCAAAACGTTAGCCACATCGTGCTCATTGTATTCGTTACGTGTAATCTCCACATTGAAGGCATCTGCTCGGAAGGCAGACAAAAGTTTAAGAATAGAATTTTCAGAGCCTGATTTGCGATAGATGCCTTCCGACATGGAGCCGTGTATGTACACAAAATTGATGCACTTATCCACAATGACGGGCACATTGAACTTGGTCAACTGCTGATCGATCAGAGAGAAGCCATTGTTGTGTGCCACTTCACGTATAATATGCCGCCAAATTTTAGTTTCGCGCGGTGAGGACATAATCATGTACACCGTAAAGGGCGGACAATCGATCATGAGTGTGGGACCAGACTCTACATGCAGATTACGAATCGTTTCGTCGCTGTCTTTGAGCACTGTAAGAGAGAGAGAGATCCATTAAACATACGCGAACGCTGCAATTGCGGTCAACTTACCTATGCAACGAGCTTTGCGCAGATCCATCTTCTCGACATTTCCAGCAGCTTCACTCACAAATATTAAACGTCTTTGATTCTTCTTCAACACCAGCCAGGTGCCGCTCCATTCGGAAGTGATTGAGTTTTTCAAATAACACCAGCCTGCGCGATAGTAATGGCAGGCATATTTCGGTGGTATAGTATTGGTCAGACTCTCTAAAAGCTTTTGCATCCAAACACCTCTGAGGAATGGTAAACGTTTTTTAACCGAAAAATAAAGAAAACTCTTACAACACTCACCTTTCCGATTCCTTGCTCACACCGTATAGGTGTGCTACGCGCTGATGTTTACAATTGCCCGATGACGTACTCGTCATAACGAGGTTCGGATTCGACATTGCCTGCACGTTGCTCGAGTTCGGTTGGTTTTTCGGCACTGACATGGTTATTTCAAAGCAATAAAAATGTGTTGAATTATCTGTTACGCGACTATTGCTCACACATTGCAGCGTTGTAATGTATTCCAGTGGAATGCTTTCTTTGGGCGTCTTCATCTCCTGATCGAGGAATGTCTGAAATTGGCGATCGCGTAAAATAGCTTTACGATTTTGCATCTCCTTGAGTATGTCTTCCACAACACCTGAAGGAAAGCGTATCAGTGGTCCTTCGTAGCGTACGAGCAATGGTGAAAGCGTAGGGCGTGGCACCATTTGTAGCGTTACCTTCAAATCGGATTTTGCGGCTACCTTGAAGCTACCCTTACGCGTGATTGCACCCACACGCTGTTTTACGTTCGTCGAAAATACGTTCATAGTATTCATAAAACGCGATGCACGCGATTTTTGTTCATTAGCCGTGAGCGAAGGTCGATCCTCGACGCCAATGGCCTCCAAGTAGGATGGTGGTCCATCACCTTCGATGTTCAGCTTGTTAAAGGGATTTCGACGTTGCTGCTCTTTGTTTTCTTTATTGTCCTGCACAAACCATTGAGTGCGATTTTCAGAAGCGCGTGCCAAGTCAATATTTCTGCCACTGGCTGGCTGGTCTTCGAGTCGACTCAAGTAGGGCCGGACGCGCGCCTCGTTATCATCCAGCATATTCTCTGTGCTCTCTGAAAGTAAGTGGGCATTTTGATGCACTATTCGTAGTTGACTACCCGCTTCGTTAGTGTTATTGGTGGGCTTAGCATTCGTTGGTGTAGGCAAAACCACAGTTGCTGGCGTGGGATCTTGGGAGACTACAGCCGTGGTGATGACAGCAGTAGCTATTTGATTGTCTTCTTCCGACGTGCACATGCTGATATCGTCATCAGATTTTACTTGATCTCCCGAAACAGTGCCGTAGATGTCCTCTTCCAGCAGATGTTCCAGTAACAATAGCTGATTACTCTTATCCGAATTGCATATCGTTGCGGCTTTGCGACTCAAAAGCGGATCAAATTCTTTAATAACTTCCACCGGCGGCTTTACGCAGCCACCTACAGCGCCTTCCACTAACTCAACCGGTCTTGGCTGAACTTGGGAGGAATTAGGTTTACTGCTTGAGGCCATTTCGAAAACTCGACCATATGTGGCCTCATCATTAGCATACACAGGCTCAGGCGTTGAACACACGCTCTCTTCCACGCTATCCGCAAAATACTCCCACGACTCACTGCGATCCGGCTTCGGCATTTGGTTTTCCGCTGCCAGTATCTGCTTACGCAACAGCATAGATTCTTCGCGTTCAGATGCCGCAACTTCCATATTGAGTTGATGTAGCTCAGCAGAGTCGACATTTGGCCGCAGTGAAGCTCCGCCCACGGGCGATGGATTCTCCACTACGCGCCGCAATTGAATCTCCTCATAATTCTTGCGTCTCTTCAACCGCTGTGGTGGCTGTATGGGCTTGAGTCTGCCGTAAAGCCCATCCGTAATGTCGGTTACAACTTCCTTGGGTAGTGCGGGTGGTGGAAAAGTTGGCATTGGTGGTGAGGGAAAATCTAATGAATCACGCGAATTCGCAACTGAACTACTGCCCGTGGCGCTCTCTTCTTCTGCAACATTTTGCAGACTGGCATTGCTACGCTGCTTCTTCAGCGCTACATTAGCTGCCTCGGCGGCAATATGTTTAGGCACCATGAGCGACTTACTTACAGGCGCGTTACGCTCGAATGCTGGTTGTGGCGCAGTTTTTAAGGCGTCTTCGTAAGAGGGCGGCGAAGGTAAATCGAGATCACTACGCGTTAATTTCAAGCTACGCGGCAAATCATATGAACAATCGGCAGTGCTGGCGGAAAGATCATCGACGGCGTCCGCTTTGCGGTTTAGCGGGCTGGTGAATGAGATCGAACCGAAAACTTGATCGTTAGGTGGCAGTGTTTGTGGGCGGCCGGTGTGAAATTGTGCTGTGGCGACTTCCTTAGGTTTTTCCTTGTCTTTTTTGGTCAGCGTAAAATTTGTATTGAAGTTTTTTCCAACGCTACGTAAACGATTCGCGGTTTCGCTGCTGATATTGCTGAAATTCTTGTCAAATTTATTTTTGACGCCCTTGGCTTTGAGTGCAACACGCTCGCCGATGGATTCTGTGAGAAGTTTGGACGTGGAACCAATTGACTTCAGGAGCTCGCTGCAAAAAATAGGTAACGAAGAAGATGCATGAAATTGAAGTAAATCCAAAATTGAATGTATGTGCGCCCATTACCCCTGCTTATCACCAATAGTATATGCATTTCCGCCGCAACAACTACCACATTTTTTAGTGCAATATAAAATTTAATATTGATAAATTAGTATTTCTTATTCGACTTGGTGTGCTGTGACATGTTCACTGTCAAGCCAACCCAACGGTTCTGAAGTTCGGACGCATGCAACCGAGCCCTATTTATAGAGTCGATATTGTGGAATATGTACAATCCGGTATACATAAACACATACATAATTATGTATATGTAAGTAAATGTATGTTGCGTTGACTTCAAAGCTTACACACACGCGCGCATATATGCATTTGTACTGACATGATGCACTCAATCAAAGAGGAATGTATAGCTTGCGAATGGTTAATAAACTCTTACTAGAAGGCACTACAGCATTACATGCAAGCATATATTTCTACATGCACACTTCAACACCCTAAATGTGTCGCTTAGCCACATACATTCTATTTCCCCAAAATGTGCAACTAATTAACGCACAACACGAACGCACAACGCCGCCTTCAGGAAATGCCACTAAATTTAGAATTCTTTAGCGGCATACAAGGAGATATACATATGTATGTAGATATGTACATACAAACATAAGAAATTTGTGTATATTTATAAATACAAAGTCGTGTGCCAAGGTCTCAAAACATCTGTGCCGATGTTCTTGGTAAGCAATGTGCTTTATATTTCTGAATATGTTTGATAAAGACGACTGTGTATGGACATTCCCTGCAGGAAATCTTGGAACTTATTACCATAATTTTAAAGCGTTTATAAAAGATGCTAATAATAGTACTGTTCAAAAGCTATTCAAACTTGAAGCATTTTTATTTTAAACGGCAGTCACTTAGATTCAAAACTAATTGTATTATTTTGGTTAAAGAGCCAGAACTGCATTCGACTGAAAATGGAAGGTTTCGTAACAAACAGAAATGTAAAAATCATTTATGAAATGCTGCTTGAAAAAAAAGGGAAACGTTTTTAAATTAATATTTGTTACTGTCCGGTGCGCCCGGTTCAGCGCAACCAAAGTGGGGTATATGAAAGGTATAGTATTATGAGTTCCTGAAACCTTCTCAATTCATCACTGGCGATGTTTAACTGCGACAATAAATGTGCTTAAATAGAGCTATACGAACAGACGAGAAGTTTCACAATCTACCGCAACCTAATCGCAACACCTGATCGCCTGGACATATCTTTCATTTCCCAGTCACTTCGTACCGCTGCGGAAGAGGTTGTGGCTTATTACCAATCAAGTAGAAACAACTGGTGCGACGAAGAGTGCTACGGAGCTTCTTATATTCTGTTCTAAGCATTATATTAGTTCATAAATAAAAAATAAGAACTTAAAGGTGGTCTGCTGTCTCTTCACATGCGGTTCACACCTTTTTGCTGGATGAACTGTGCACCTAGACTAATTCTTAATTTTAATTTCGATATCAGTCGTCCGGTACTGCATCTGTCCCAACACTCAAACGAATGCCTCGTCGACTTCTACGGCAAATTGTGCGTTGGGTAAACTAGTTCTTTAAGTGAAAATGCTCAAGTCAGGCAGTTGAAGGAGTATTTTCCCGGAGGAGTTTGTGAAGCCTGTCAAAAGGCCAGAAAAAGAAGATTGCATAACATGCGACTTCTATTTAGCTAAGAAATATTTGCATATTTAAAGCATATATATATATATAACGGAGCCGCTGTATTTTAATTCGCTCCACTATGTCTATGTCGTTGTAAAGCTTGTTCCATCCTCTGCGGTACTCGCCGTTGCCAACGCGTAAAGGCCCGTAAATCTTCGGCAAAATCTTTCTCTCAACTACTCCAAGAGCCGGATCAACGGATGCTTCGGCGCCATATATCAACACGGGCATGATGAGTGACTTATATAGTGTGGTTTTCGTACGTCGAGAGAGGACTTTACTCCTTAATTGTACATTCAGTCCAAATTAGCACTTGTTGCCAAGAGTGATTCTGCTTTTGATTTCCCTGCTGACATTATTAACAGTGTTAATGCTAGTCCCGAAGTAAACTAAATTCTGTACTGTCTCCAAAATATGATGGCAGGACAATTATCCTCGTTTACCACCAGACCCATTCGCTTTGCTTCCTTATCCAACTGGAAAAGGTAAGTCGCCTATCTCTCTCTCTATCTTTTCGGGCATTTTTCTTGCTTTGATAAGTTAAAAAATCAAGTAACTATTAATTCAACGATATTGTGTTCGCTGACCTGTTATCAGAAAGATTATAAATTACTCATGAGGCTGAAGTCATATTTGAACTTCTCAAACATTTTTTCCTACCGGGGTTTAAAATGCATATAAACAATAAATAAGTATAAGTGTATATCCTTTTACTTAGGCACTCGCATATTTTATTTTAAGAAACGTCAGCTGAGAAATTGAAAAATTAAGTCCCACGGTTGATCTTCAAAAAAAGGGAACCATATCTAAAAATATCGAACTTTGTAAAAAAGTATGACAATACTATTTAAACGAAATCGCGGATACAAGGGAAAAATTAGGCCTGTTTGCGTACGCACTATCCAGTAAAATTCAGTAAAAATGTACATACTTATTTCTAAAATTGAAATTTAATGAATGATAACTCATTTAGAAGGGGGAAGCTCACATACATGCGAAAAATAGTTACTTTCTTCAAGTTTAGTTATTTATTGAAAAAAGGGGGTTCTAAAAAGCTGAAGGCACTGTATACGGTCAATAAAGCGCCATATCTTCCATAATACTTCATGAAATGGAATGATTGAAACACCATATTGAAGGAAAGCTACACTGCTTAAGGTAGAATAAAGACTTTTTGATAGGATTGCCACCCGTTTAAAATTTTTGGACCTTAAATATATAGTATACTGACAAAATATTTAAAACGCATTGAGGGAATGCAAGTGAAATGCCTTTATTAATTTAATTAAATGCACTCTTAACCAGAAGTAATAATTTTGAAGAGGGTTGCCAACTATTTAAAAATATATATCTATATCTCTATATATATAGAACTAAGTTGCGTAAAACGTATGACCCCATAACTCGAAAACCGATTGTCCAATTTAAGTCGGCTTTTTTTAGTTGTCTTTGTCTTTGCCCAAAGAAAAATGTTACGGAGAGAAACCCCCCATAGGGTGGCGCTGGGATCGACTTATTACTAAAAATCGTATTTATAGTCCGATTTCGGTCATATTTTATATATATTTTTCAGCCTGGGAACGCTGGAGTCGAGTTATCTATACTAATATATATTTTGAAAGCCGTTTTTTTTCTTTTCATTTGAAATAAATTATTTTTAATCTCTTCAATAACATCAACGCATTCCCGTAGAGACTAACCATGGGTTTTAAATTATTGTATCCAAGCAGCAATGCAATTGAAGTTAAGGGTTATTAGAAACCAAATCTGTTTTTATGTTATGATTTGTAAACATTTCTTTAGTTCGATGAACAAAAAAAGACCAAGAAAAGGTCAAGAAAAACTTAGTGTGCCAAATTTTCTAAAGCAGTACGAAGTTCTTAAGAAATTTGCTACGCTTTCTACTATGGATTGCTGAAGTTTGTTTGTGAAGAGTACTACAAGGCACCCTTGTTTTCAACAGAAATATATGCCCGTTTCATTATTTCGTAAGGAAAAAGTGAGACAGCACGCTATAAAAAATCAGCTGTCAGAACTCCTTGGACACTACTATTCACACACACAAAATAATAGCAATTTATTTCTTGATCGTTTACTTAAAAGGCCCGTACTTAGCTTTATACATTGAAGTAAGCAATATAAGCATGATCGTTAAAATTATGGTTGGAAACCCTGAATAAGAAAAAAAAATGCTTATAATATTAGAACCAAAGCAACTATACTTATAGGGAATATATTGGTTCAGGATTATATCAGCCCAACTGTATTGTGATAAAAGAGGGTAAATTGATCTTGTTACATGGCTTCTGATACTTATCATAGTTAATCTCTTTAATATGAATAGGGATAACACTAGAAAACAAGGTCATCAAGAAAATCGTATGCGGCAAAAGTTGTCCCGCCCGTGGCAGGGGAATCTCTTTATATAATAAAGCCAGAGTTTTTGTTGTGGTTTTGTCCTGTAAGTATTTCAGGTTGCTCATTTTATAATAAAGCATCTTGTTTAAATAGAAATGTGAAATTTATTCGCAGAGTTGCATTAAAATATTTCTCTTTCAAAAATGTAGGTATATTTTTATTCAGTCCGGGGCAGAAAAAACTCAGTTTTTCCCAAATAAAATGAATTAGGCATTTATTCGTATTTGGTAATAACTCATAAGTTAGTGAGTTATGTGGATTTATCTAAATTCAGTATTGCTTCGCATTTTATACTTAAATTTATGGAGGAAAGAAAATTTTCGTTGTACAAATGGCCCACCTATGGCAATGGAATAGCCCAGATGTGTTTTTAGGTCATCTCTACTAAATATATTGACGTTCATTCATAAATGTCGCGTATTAGGAAATGTGTTTTTATTGGAGCAGATTGCATTAAAAGTCAATGTTTTTTATCAGCGTCGAGAGTAATTAAATTTACGCAACAAATACGCGTAAGTGTAACAGTTGGAACGTCTCATAGCATAAAATCTGGAAAACTACATACATATGTACACATGTATATACGTACATATGACTATACGAGCATGTAGGTTAGGTTAGGTAAGCGGGCTGCCTCCGCATGTGGAGGCACACTTGGACTCGACTAAGCTGTCCGTTGTGATGTCCTTAGAGGGGGGGAAGGGGGGGTGAGGGAAAGAGGGACGCAGGGAGGGTAGGGGGAAAGAGCGGGAAGCTATGGGAGAAAGAAAGACGACACCTATGGCTTTTTGCCGGAGAAACGCTCCGTGCTCACAACGAAGCTCTTCAGTCGACTGATGTCCACACCTGAGAGCTCATCGGGAGTG